GACTTACTAGCGGCTTCTGTCGTCTTACACCGGGAAAATCCACACAAGTGATCAGAGAAAACTGGAGTCCCATGTCCCCATTAACAGATCGGAACGCCCATGTCCATGCGATTCCCTTACACAGTTTGACACATCGTCAACCTGAAAAAAGATGAAAAGTCAATAATAATAATTGCAACAATCATGGTAGGGTGAAGGACGAAAGAAATAAGACCAGGTTTCTAACACTAATGACCAGCTTCCAGCAAAATCACGTTCACAGCTTGATCCAGCTCCACCTGTCTCAAGCTGCCTGCTTCTTCTCTAATGAAGGGTACAGCCGGCTGTTCAAGTCAGAACGGCACCCACGCAAGGAGCTAAAATTAACAATTGCATTATGCACCGAAGATTACTCACTTCAATTTTAACCTTTTTTAGTGAAATCTCGCACTTTATATTAAAAAAAAAAACAAGCTTGTGTGTTTGCCTCAATGAGAATCCAGATCACCTATGAGCAAAAGTCTTGCCTCTTTTTTTAACCAAAGCCTCTGTCTTAATTATAGTCATATAATAATATAATGTACCTTAATGCTGTTTCTGTGACTCCTTTATGAAAGTTATCTAGTGAGGCGTATTTAAAGATTCTGATTTAATAAGGCATTATCTATAAAAGTAAAAAAAAAGAAAAGAAAAGAAAAAAGAAAACGTTTACAATGGCATGGCTGAGAGAGCTCTTTCCTCTCCACTTACAGTTTGGGAAGAAGCATTCCTAGTATTCTTACTGCACGGTGAACACAGTCAATCTGGACCCCTCCCTCCCCATCAGGATTGCCACCGCCAGCTGGGCATTCTGTTTGACAGCAAAGACACGCTGTCAGAGGGATTCAACAGATTTGCAAACTTTGAGCCCGTTGAAAACAATCCATGCTATAATGTGCACTTTCTTTTTCTCACAACTCCTACAGGAGCAGAGGCAAAGACAGCTTGAATGCAAACATAGAGACGGATCCCTGATAACATTTGCCAAAACCGAGCTGCATCTCTCTCCTTTCGCTGCAATTCTACTCTGCTGCACACCTGCTAAATCCGACAGCATGCACACCTCCTCCATCATACATCTATCTCCGAAAACGCTAAATGCATCTCAGTTATTTAGTCTGAAGTTTACAAATCCTCTCCACCTTCCCCTCTCAGCTCCCCTCCCAAGTTTAAACGAGCACAGCTGGTTCCTCACTGGATTTTACTGCTGCTATATTAACAACATATTGGGTTACAATGCCATTTGTTGTGCAAGGGAAAAACAACTTTTGAAAATGCAATCACTTCCACATCAATAATTTCTAGCTTTATTCATGTTTTATTAAAGGGAATGATTTGGCTTTAAAATATGTTTCTTTTGTTGTTAGAAATTATATAACCATTGAGAGATAAGCAAACATGCATTTAGAACAAAAATGAATTGCTAATCAACAGTAATTTTAATTTTTCAATTGTGACCAGTTTCACCATGACTACTATGACTGACATTAATACTGAATAGAAGTCAACATGTTTTACAATTAGAATCTGTTTAAGTAACCAGATTCTAATTATCTGGTTATCTCATAGGTCTTACAATATGCATTAGTAACGGATGGAATTACCAAATGCTTTTTGGATTCTGTTTTCCTTTTCCCAAAGAAAATGAAGTTATCAACGATCATCGCAACCTCTTTGTCTCCTTTTTCTGATCCTCATGTTTGTATAGTGGCCTTTAATCCAACAGGTGAATGGCAATGCAGTTTTCAAATCTAAACCTAGCCGCATTAATCCAGCCCCAGTAGGTGGATGCAAGATATAATTCTTTCCATGGAGAAAGAGAGAGAACAAACTGATATCCACTCGACCAACTCAAAGCGCGAACAGCCTGGATATATATGTGTGTGTGCGTAATTACCAGGACACGTTTTGAAATAGCACTGAGCTCGAAAGCCAGCGAGGTATTATTCTTGCATGCCTGAATCATAAAATCATCATCACCAAGATAAAAGCGAATATGGGCATATGGGAACGAGCAGGGAGGAACATATGGATCACAAATATTTTTGTAACTGATTAAAATTGTTCTCTTTGCTAAGAAAGCAGTGCCAGGAAATCAACCCTACTCCAGCTTTCTGTTCGCCAAACTAACCCGACTCTTCCAATGCCATTTAATCTTAACCTGTTCCAATATCTCCCTTTTCACAAAGAACCAAAACTATTTTTAACCGATATCTTTAATCACCAGTTAATAAAAATTCTGACCAAGTTTCAATTGTTATAGTTGGAGGGGTGGAGAGAGAAAGAGGAGCCTCTATACAAATGGACAAAATAAAAGTTACTGCAGTTCTTTCAGTGAAAATAGTTTAACCGTAATTTAGAAGATAGTATTTAGCAAAGGCAGTTAATCACTTGCAAAACAAGCTGTAGGAAATTGATCAACAGTGCTGTCAGCTATTTACAATGAGGAAAGCAATTATCATTTCATGTTATATTTTTGTTGTTTCTTATTTCCTCAGCTTACTTTAGAGTTGAAAATAGTAGTAATTATGGGATTGTGGGAATGAGAACGAAGGAGAGAGGAGAAAGGCATAATGAAAAATATCAAATACTCTGTCTTTCATCACCACCAACAAAATAGGTGTGTCCTAATTTTGTGTATGTGTATGTATGCATGTGTGTGTTAACATATTTAATCGCTGGGCTGTCATGTGGGGAAAGAAAGATCAGGATTTGATTCAAATTCCAGCATTGATTTAGTTCCTAGGAGATGGCTAAAATGGGAAATTAAAATTGAATTCTATTAGCAAGTTGGGAGGGTCATTTTATTAGTCACTTTCCTCACAATCTTTTTACTAACGATTAACACAGGATGACTAACCTTATCCCAAATCGGTATTGGTACTTTATGAAGAAATAACACAGTCAAGATTTACTTACTCAAATGAGTGAAATGTTTCTCCCATACGCACTGTTCCTTCTTTTTTAAACTGATCACAATTCTGCAAATGTAAGCCACTTGCAAATTGTGATGATACTAGTGATTTGTC